CGTCTAATGAAAAATTGTTTAATACAAAAGTTGTACGGTTTTAATATTGCGTATCAATTTTTTGTGAGTTTCGAAATTTCCAATATATTTTTTTCGTGATATAATCGGAAGAATATTAAATTCCAAGTAATTTAAGAGAGTTAAGGAAACATTCTGCAATGCGACAAGCAAATAGTCTTAATGCAGTTTTCATTCTCGAAACGAATTATCAAGAATTTTTCGCATAATTTAAAAATTATTTCACGTGAATCAGCCTGTAGTATAGTATAATACGAAAGCGCAATCGTAGATCGTCGATTTATCGACGGTGAATAAAGAACACCTGAGGACAAGACGAGAAAGCTTGCCGGATCGACTTACGACCTTCTTTCTCAGTGGAGTGTGGACCAGCCTGGAGCGACCAGTTTTTGTATTCCTCGTGACAACGCGTAGGGAAATGCGACAAGAATTTCCAACGAGCGCCAATATACTATCGGGCTGTTCACTTTGCCGTGATCGCGATCAATCGATAAACACGCGAGATTTCTTCTCCCCAACGACGAGGTTTTCGTTTATTTTTCTCTCGATTGAAATCGAGAAGACCTCCGTGAATACTTTCAGGTACCAATTTCACACCAGTGATGACGAGGATGGTTTTGAGAATGAGTTTCGCTTAAAAAGATGAAAGAAAACTAAAAGACCAAGCTCGGTAACTTCGAATCTTTAGAAAGTTTTGGAACACGGTTTTTTATGCATTTATGCAGAATTAAAAGATGCAACAAGTATAGAATATTCAATAAATGATGTTTAAGAGCCATTCCTTAGTCATAAAAATAAACACCCGTAGTTTAGATATTATCATTGTAGCAATAACTCGACGAGATAGATAATATCGAAATGCGACAAAAATCGAGCGTAAGATCCTTGTTCGAGGGAACAGGTGCATAAACGAATAAATCAGGAATAGACGCGTATCGCGTCCGTCATGGTCAATGACCAGAAAACAGACAGGGTTTCGTAACCGATGAGACCCCCATGGAAACTCGTAAGTATTCACATCCCGAAGAAGATGGCCGATGGCGATGCGACCTCTAACGAGACACGAGGCCCGGCTTCGACTTGCCCTCGGTTTTCGACGGCTAGAAACCTCTTTTCGGAGCTGTGATTGGACCACGGCCAACGGCAGGCTATCGTCCCGGCATCGAAATCATCGGAATTCGTAAGAAGAGACGTGCTGATATATCCTTCCGTCGTTCATTTATAGAATTTCGTTGCGCACCAGCTACGTCCAACTTTTTCTTAATCAGCTAACGAAATTCAATCTCGCTTATGCGGCGGGGCTATTTTCACATTCCGTCGCATTCGCATCTGTCCTTCGGACGTCACGTCCTCAGGATATTCCTAGAGAAAGACAGGTAGTTCCTTTCTCGAAGGAAGAAAGGAAGGAGGGACTCGTTTTTCCAAACATTCATTCGATCCTACGTCAATCCTACTTTCACGTGTAAATGTTCAATTTCGTATGGATCTTAGTTTCAGCATCATCACAGGGTCGAAGCTTACATGCATCTTCGAGAAGCTGGTGCACCGAATATATAACTTTGTAATAATTATCTGACTTGAAACCGTGCGAACGATACGTGTATTCAATTAACTTAAGGGTGACAGGATCAATGATTTTTTGTTTGATATCAACGGAATCATCATCGAGGAATACCATCCTCATCTTTACTCTGCACGAAGAGTTCGATGAATCGAATCGCTGAATGGATTTTCAATCGAACGATGAATATTACGCGAAACTGACTGGAAGGAATTGGCGGTGGTTGCACGGGGGAGGCGTATCACTCAGCGCACATCGGACGGAGAAATTTGCATCGGGCCTTCGAGGATGATGTGGACGTCTGGATGGTCATTGGCAGACCAAACGTGATGAAATTGCTAATTTCTGTCTACCAAGAATTGGCCATTCATACAATATTCAAGATCTTTACGCGCAGGTCACTATATAACACCCTTCTACGGATCGGATCACCAGTCTTCTCAGGATCCCCGATACATACGAGACAAAACCCAACAGTTCCATCCATTCAGAAGAGAACGACGAAGGGATCTAATTCATCATGACTCGACGGACTTGTCTGATTTTATCTTGTCTGGTTGTCGTTATCGCCGTTGTCTGGAGCTTGCCTCAGCAACCCAAGTCTAGGAGACCCATCCCGCAGTTTAAGGTTTGTTTCGTGAACAAGTGCTTTGGCTTTTGTGAGAAAGTTGCACGGTGTGTAAATGTGTATAATGTGTATTTACTTGCATAATGTGTATAAATAGAACGAAACTAGAGTAGAATTAAACGTGCAGTAATACTTTGTCTACGTTAGAGTGTTGAAATTTTGCATATTTAATTTCACATTGCGCAATTTTTATACTCTTCGCGGAATTAGTGAGAGCGATTAGTAACAAAATTAAACTGATAGTAATTCAAGCGTTGAATTTCAGAATAAAACCGGTGGCTTGGAACTTCCGGACAACGCCACGCTGATTCGAGAGAACATCGTGGACAATTTCTCCTGCCAGGACAGGATTTATGGATATTACGCCGACATGGAGAACGATTGCCAGATTTTCCATGTTTGCTTGCCGCAGGCTAGGGGTGCGTCAAGATGGAGCTTCATCTGCCCTGCGGAGACTGTTTTCAATCAAGTGAGTAATCATTTTCGCTCACAGATTTCGTTTCCTTCGCTTCTTTCCACCTGCGGCGAATCAACTTCTTCGTCCAATTAGGCCACGTTCGTTTGCACGAAAACGGAGAACTCCATACCATGCGAGGAGTCTGAGAAATTCTACAGCTTGAACGAGGCGATTGGCAAGGAAGTGGAAGAAGAGGAAAGTGACGTGGAACAGGCGACGAAAGAGTCGGATGTGGAACCAATTTCGGCCAGACCTTCAGCCAGGACGTCGAGGATCTTGAACAGGAAGAAGTCGAGGAATCAGTGATTTCTTTTTTTTTTCGGAATTTAATAATAATCTTGTGCAGAACGGGCTGTGTGTGTGTGTGTGTGTTTGTAGAAGATATGAGATTCGTGGACTGTTAAAAGGATTAACTACGTTTACTTGTCTGAAACGAAAAAAATAACTTCATTTACTACTTAGGTATAAATACGTGTATTTAAATTATGATGAACAGACTGCGAATTTTTATGCGAATTCGTATTTTCGAGAAATTTAATTCAGTATTAATTATCCATGAAACATTGTCGAAAGCGTTATAGCCTTAGACATTTTATATATATACATTTCCTGCAGTTTCGAATTTTCTATAAATGCATAAAAATCCGCAGTCTAACGACGAGAATTGTACGATAAAAATCGCATCAAGATATTAGCTAAAAAAAAAAAAAAATCGTGTAAAATACAGGAACGTGTTGTAAATTTATAAATACCTACAGTAAGAAAATCGTTGAAATAAAAGTATGTTGAAGTCTCGGCGACAAATTTATTGCGTGCAGTGGTTATACAAGACAATTAATACTGCTAGTTCCATATTTATAATTAAGCAAACACGCGCGAAATGAAGTTACACAAATGTCCCAAGCCTAGAACGAAAACAGTACAACGGTGCGGAAATAATAAGCGAACAATTACTTAGTGCCTAAATAAAAAAACGATTAATCATTACGAAACTAAAGAAGCGTACGAACGCTTCTGTTGATCATTTATTTACAACGATTGATATGTGTCGATATTGGTCTTTGCGACTTGAGTACACAAGTCAAGAATAAATTAAACGAAAAACGAACTCGGCTACTGTACATTAATTAATACGACGAGTAAGACGAAAGAAAGTAAAAACACACACACACGCACACGTGCAAAGCGGCTAGAAATATAAAACCCAATCTCTTTTTGTTTGAAATTCTGGTGATATTTATTTATGAAGTTGCAAAAGTCACCGAAGTTGCTTTTTCAGTAATCTTCGGTAATCTTCGGCTCTCGTTTCTATTCGATATCTTTGGATAACTAGCCATTATATCGTGGGAACAGGCGGTGCCTATTCCTCCGTTCATAAATGCCGATAAAATAATCAACGACAACAATTCTATCAACTTCCGTGCCCACACACACTTTTTCAGAATCCTAAAGCGCGTATCAGAACGGCGGTTCAAATACATTTTAAAGAAGAAGAATTAAAATCAACGTACGTCTCTCATTTAGTAGCCATTGGCTTCCTATTAAAATTACGAGTATAATGTGTATAACAACGGTATAAAAATAATATTTAGTATCTAAATGATTGTCTCGAAGGTACGAGTGCTCTTGTCACGAGATGAGCACTTGAATCTTTGAAAAATCTCTCTCATCTTTCGTATCTTCCTTCTCAGGCTGATTCCGAGATCGCGATATAATTGGAAAGGATGCGATTCTTCGCGTAAAGATAAGTCGAAAACGTAAAGTATTAATTAAAAAAAAAAAAAGAAAAAAGAACGAAAAATATTCGTCGTACAAAAATATTCTATCCTATATTTTCGATATATAAATTTACACGAAGAATCGAGGCCTTTCCAATTACACGAAAGTTTCAAAATCACCCTGCACAAATGCAATCTTCTACATATATTAAGCATTTTCGACAATTCGCGTGTACCCTGTATTGTCCAACAAGTAGACATCCTACGTATAATCCTGCGCCTATTAATTTCCTCCCAACAATCTTGCCATATCGTGACGTGGCGACGAGCGAAGAATTTCTTCTCGAATTTCTTCTGAAATGTCCCCTCGTCAGAGAGAATAGACCCTTCTCTCTCGTCGAAGAGAAGAACGAAACCTAAGCCTCGGAATCTACCGCTAAATCAGCCTCGATTTCCTCGGGACTCCTAAGATCAATAGCGAACCTCTTCTTCGCGTTTTTGCCTGCCATCTCGGCCATTTTGTCCTGGGCCTTCACGGTCCTCGAGTAAATCTCGAAAGCCGCAGCCAGGGCGTAAGTGAGCTGTCTCGCGTGATGCTTCGACTCGCAAACGAAACCGTGGCATTCGAACGGCGAGACCCTCCTGAAGTTCTCTGTCTCGCGTACGACGATCATGGAGAACACCCGCGTGTAGACGAGATCCTGAACACCGTAAGAGATCGTCTCGATGGCGTGCATCTTGGTGAAGTTCGTGTCCTGTTTCCTGAGAGCCACGCCGTCCTGAGAGACGACCAGTTTGATCAGAGGGAGCATGGTGTTTGTTGGTAAGGCCTTCGCGGCAGCAACCATATTATCGACTGGCCTCCTCGTGTGCTTGATGCCCCAGAGGCCCCTGGCAGCATGAGAGCCCAGATATTTCACCTGAAAACCGTCCCCCTATAGTCTCCCACGTGTGGCCCTACACTCAGGTAATAATTAAACGTATACACGAGACCTTGGACCGCCACTAGAACGTGACGCGTAGAGAGCGTAGGCGGCAGTTTCGGGATCGTAGAACTTACATTGGGAAGACGATAATGTTACAGTTTGGTTGGTTAAGAAATCGAGGAGCTGCGAGGTATTAGTTTTTGGAGATTATGCATTTTTTTGGTGAATTTATCATTTGTGCAAGTGACTGAAGAGAGTTTGAAGGAAATACAAGGTAAATATTGTCAGATATACCTGAAACACCTGAGGAAGATCCGTCGAACCTTCGAAGACATTGTTATCGATGGATAAGCGAAACAGCTTCGACACTAGGTCCTTCTTTTTGTCAGTGGAACTCGCAGGATTTTTGTCCTTCTTCATCTCGTTCGTCTGTTGGCTTTCCTGCGTTGAGAAATGCGTACAATGTTAAGAGCTGGATTCTACAGACGCCTTTCTATCGACCGTCTTGTGATAAAACACGTAACGCAATGAAATATTTGAAAATATAATACAATCAAACGTCTAAATCTAAATCCTACCTTTCTCACTATTCTCATCAAAGACACGAATTTTCATAAAAATCCGCAGCCCAATGACAATTGAGTCACGTTTCTACAAGGCGAATTGTTATTTGACACTTGGCAAGTCTCGAAAATAATAGTCGAACAACAGGTTAATTGGTTCGTTTGAAGACCCACGAAGACGTTTGAGTACTCACGGTACTGTTATCAAGTTGATGTATCTTCTGTGTTTGGCCGGGCTTCACTTTCAGGTGATATTCGACCACGTTCGGTATGTACGGCGGGTTGGAAACGACTGAGGAAGCCGGAGAGGATGAAGAGGCGGTCGCTGGCCGCTCAGGGACGGTGTTTCCGGCCTCGGTCGCCCCGAATAACGGCGCTGTCATCACTGATCTATGCCCGCCAACCGTTTCTCCCGTCTGACAAATTCAACATTTTTTTGTTTTGTTTTTTTCTTTTCTTTTTCACTCTTTATTTCGAATCTTGACCAATCTTTTTCGATCGATATATACAACCAAAGCTTTCGAACCTTTCTTTCCGAGCAATCATTTTCAGTCTTCGTTGCACCTTTCGTGTCGTTCAGATCGTTATTAACATTCTTCAGGACACCGTCGGCTCTTCTCATAAAGCCGAAATCCTCGTCTTCCATGATCACCCTTGAATTCCTTTTCAAAAGTTCCTTGCTTGCCTCACGATGCTCCTCTTTCCACCGCCGTGTTCCTTCAATCGCGTGTAACAGAATTATTAAATAAGTTATTCAATACTTTTTGAATTCAAGCATCCTTTGAACGAGCGAACACCCGCGAGCTAGCGACGATTGCTCAATTTCGTAAAAAAGATAGTCAACTTCCCGTTTATTTAGCAAGTTTGTTCATCGCAAGCAAACGGGAGGAGTCCATAAATTCCGAATATACTTGAAACATCATCACGTTACTTCCCATTTCTCAATTCAATTTAAAGCTCGCTCGATGTGATACGCCTGAGTCATTCAATCAAGTAATTAGATATCGTCCGTCGTTACGATAAGTAGTCCATCTCGTTATGCCAAACAAAATGCAAAATACTTTTTACTTATGCAAAGTGTCGGGTAATCGTGATCCAACGATTTCGTACGATCCAACGAGGGGAGGGTGTGGGGAGAGCTCACCCCTGCTTGACGTTACTATCGTCGTCCCGTTGTATTCCAAAACGCGTTCAGCCGCGAAATTAAAAACGTGCTTAACGTGCTCGGGCCTAAACCCGGGGAACAGCTGTCGCGCAGCACGTGTTGCACCTTGCGCTCTAGCTCGATCGTTTTCGTTCGCTCTCGATCACGTCTCGTTCGCAAACGATGGAAGTTGGGTAAACTCTGGCCGGGCAGCGAACAAACAAACGTATCCGTAGGATGTGCCGCCCGGCACAAAGAGCACGCCGTTTCACCTGCTCTATTTCGTACAAAGGATAGTCATTGTCCGCATTGTCACAGATTTAATCGAACGAAACGGATGCGCCGCGGTACGCAGAGAAAAACACGCGATACTATCGAAAATCCTAAATACCCGGGGCAGGGCTTGGCCTGACGCGGGCAGGAAATGAGTCAGGTGAAAAAAAAAAAAAAAAAAAAGAAAAAAAGGGATTCATTAATGTATTCACTGTCGGTTGGTCAGGTGTGGGTATTCTGTTTTATCGCGACTTGCGCGCCGGCGAATCGGCGTGCGCAGTTACCGTTTCAAAAAAAAAAAAAAAAAAAAAAAAGAAAAAGAAAAAAAAACGTGCGCCAGGTTTCCGCGCTCTTCGCGACCGGGAGCGTAGAAATTCAAGAACGAAGGTCGAAACGAGTCGACCGAGTCGGAAACGCATTCGTGAAATTTTACTCCAACGTATAGTATGTTTGTCTCCTTCTCTCTCTCTCTCTCTTTCTCTCTCTTTCGTGAAATCTACAACGAACTTTCTCTAAATAAAATAAAATAAAAAAGGAACGCGTACAACGAATCAAAGAATGATACCAAATTCAGCTGACTCAGGAAGTCTTACCGGGTGACTTATTCATTGACAAATAAAGATTAAATCCTGTTCAACGAAAGTTTCAATATGCACCGAAAAGTTTTCTTAAATACGTGGATTATGTAATCTAGCTTTTTATATATATTTAACTCTTTTGATCCTAATAAGTCGCAAAGATTTTTTATGTTGCGTTGTACCTCAAAGTACAGTGAGTGTCAAAGGTACGCTGATATTAGCATTTCCATGAATCAATTGTTATGAACAGCGTACAAACCACGTAATCTAAGATTAAATCGTTTAATCGAAAATTAAAAAGTGATATTACAAGTACCAAGTCTCTGGGTGAATTTATTTTCGAGCACCTTGTATATACTCCGCCTCTGTACACCTGTCGTCCAATTACACCCGCGTACGATACTAAAACTGTTAACGCGCGTGGCCACGTACCGGGTGTTGTGGTATAGAAAGAAACAGCAATGTTCTGTCTGTGGAAAAATATTCGATGAAAAAAGTTGCGAAAATCCATCGCGTATTTCGAGTACATCTATGCAAAGAGATGGAAAAGCTTGGAGCATTGATGGTAACGGTACCGTTCGAGAATGAAATGGAGCTGTAGATAGTCGCTGATCGTTATTACGGTCTTTCAAGATTTCCGTTACCTCTCGGGATATCGAACCTTATCAATTCCCAATTCGAAAGATACGAACTCACGAACTCGAA